GAATAAAACAGAGATGCTCAGAATCTACTGGCTTCAATATATGTGCAATATAAATTCTGAAGTTTAAAAGTACAACTTTCGTCTTAGTGCTAACAAGTCTGATTTTACCAGAAATATCTATTTGTGCCTGTCTTGTGGATGTTTTCTAATAGGAACACAAGAGTCATTAAGTACTATACGATATTTCACAAAAACAAGCAAACCAAACCAAACAAAAACCAACAAGAACAAAACTAGAGAGGATATGAGGATATTATGTTATTTTTCAAGGCAAGGACTGCAGAAAGCCTTTCACTCCACCTACTCATCTGCTTTCTCCATTAAATAGTTAATAGCTACACTGGGACACCATTAAATGACCTACTAAAGTAAGTCAGTCTATTAAAGCAAGAAGCATTACCCCCTCACAAAACATGTCCTTGTTTGTCAGCTGTAGACTTATCTTTATCTCTGACTTCTTCCTAAAGAGGTCATTGCCTATTTGGAGGCATGCATGGGAAGAGAACAATAAAATGCTTAATGTTACAGTAATCACAGAAGCAAAAACATAATTTAGATTTTTAATATCCTAAAACATTCTGATTTAGGACATTAAATGTAAAACATTTTAATAGTAGTGAATCAGTATTTTGGGAGCCTGTACCAGCAGTCTTTCTTTCCCTGGTGACTAGCTCAGTTAGTGAATTAAATTAGTTTCTCCTCTGAGTTACCTATAATTGATTTAAGTGCTCTCCATCCTTAATTGAGATGTAGGATAGGAGGTGGGAGAGGATAGTACACAACTTGCATATTCTTAAGCAATGCCATTAGCATAACAAAATGGGAAAAAATTAAGAACTTTCTACTGTAAGTTGTATCTGTAAAGTGAGCATCTTAGTTGTTCAGCTTCAAGAAATCAAATAAAAGTAATTTCAGGTAAAAACTGGCTAAAATGAACAAGTATTTGACCAAACAGATGTCAATATGGACATAACTAAGCACATTGCACTAAACTTTCGTAGTATTTGATCAACTTCTTTCCTTTCACTTAAACATTAGTATATTAAGCATTAAATACTTGAACATATTGTGATCCGTAAAATGCTGAGTATTTTTTAGTTGCTCTATCTGTTGCTTTCTTTCTTCTACTCACACTTTTTGCTTTTATCATTCCACTGTCTGGCCTCAGTTTAAAGCGATTTACTTTAATGTCCCATTGAATTTCAGTCCACTGAGGGCATTACACTCAGCCTCCTTCATTTTTATGTAAATGGAAGATGCTATTTAGAGAGTCCCACAGACTAAGCAGTAACTGGACCTTCACCTTGAGTGTCAGCTTCCTAGAAACTCCCCGTGCTCTACTTTGAAAGACATGAATTGTTCAGAATCCTGTTTCCTTGGCTGGCTTTCACTACCCAAAAGCTCAGCTTTGTTGTGGGCCAGCAGTTGTTATATTGTCTAGAGTCTTAAAAGTTAAATCTCACCATTCTTTTAGTTCTGTTTTGCTGTAGCACTTGAGACGTAAATCACAGAACAGGTGCCTTACTGTCAAGAAAGAAATCTATGTATCATGCAGATTTCAGATAAAAATAATTAAAGATTTTAAGAACCTCCAAAATAAACTAACTAGGTGTTACTTTTCTTTTTGCCCCACTATTTTTAGCTCTGAAAGTATTCATCCAGTACCAGAAGGGAATTAAATTAACAATATTTAAATTACAAACTAGTTATATCATATGAAAAAGAAATACTAATCTAGCCATGGCTTAAACATCACTTGCTACAATCTGTTGAATATATAAAATAACACTCCTATCTCACATAATCAGCAAGCTACTTGGATTTTTTTAATTTGTAACAATAAATAACTTTATCAAAACTCTAATACTTGAATTAATTTTCAAGTTGAAGTTTAAAAAGAAAAGCCTCCATATTATCTGTGGAAATTAATAAGTAAAAAGCTCTTACTGTATTTTTTACCACGCAAATTTTGATGTGACATTTACATACCAGGATTTCTCTTAGCCATATAAAAGCTTCAGAAAAACAATTTCACAAGTGACATTCCTGTTTTTTTGAGTAAACCAGTTCTTTTAAAGTTCACCAGCATTTCTCCCTAGAGATAGTTCGATTTAAAGTCAAAAATTATGCAATGGAATGTCTTAAGTCATTTTGAAGCCTCACATTTTCAAACAAGATTTAGTAGAGTGACAAGACAAACTATGACCCAAGACCCTTTAGAAAGAGGCATCATTAAATCCAAGTCTGTAACTAGTCATCTTGAACTCAAAGAGGTGCTATATTTAAATACTATTAGAACAGTGTTATGAGGAGAAGACAGATCACTCTGCTATGTCATCTGATAATGAGATTACAAGATCTAAATGATTGAGTTATCATTCCATATTAACCCTTAAACATAAAAGCCAATCTCAAGTAGTGTCCATTGGATAATTTTATTTTTTCCCCTTTTAATAACAGATGGAGTCTCATAATTCTGTCCCTTAAATTTGCCTGATCTTTTCTAATAAAAGGCATAATACAGGCATTTATTGTTTCACTAACAAATATTTAATTTTCTGCGTTAATATTTTCATTTCAGCTACCTTCTTTACGCTGAGTTATTTTGGAAACTTTTATCTAAAATGTTTCTGAAAGTAATTTTAATGGAAGCCTTTCCATACACAAAAGAATAGTGTGATGTTTTTATTAAAAATACCCAGTTCTCAAACAAGAACAAAAGCAGTTTTGAAGAGGCAGGACAGCAATTAGGCAACATCATGGACGGGAAAGAGTAGCAGAAGCACTTTCTCTGGCAGTAGTTTCATTTTAGTGTGGTTTACCTGTAATTTGAAATTGCACCTTAAAGCTTTTTTTTTTTTCTACAGAGCCTGAGATTTGGCCCATGCAGAAGAATGCAGTGCAACAACTTTGTTTGGTACAAGTATCAGAGATCTCTGCATTGCATTTAAAGATCAACTACACTAGTGAACCATAATGGAATCAGGATGATCTTCCAAAGTGGTCAGTTGCCATCTTCCCTTTTTAATGCAGGAAATCAAATGTAATAACTACTCTGAGAAAATGCTCCATTTGCATGTTCGAACACTCAATTTACATAACATCAAAACTCTTTATTTTTTAAAAAGAACATTACTCACTTCTCATATACATATAAATTGGTGTGATCTCTAAGGTTCAAATCAACTTAAACTTACTTGGAAAACGGAATCAAAATCTGATTAAAAAGGTGGAAAATTTTCCTTTCACTCTTCTCTTAAATCAGTTAAAGCCTACAATTCATCAACTAATATGAAGGTGGTGTAATAAGTGTCTAGGTACGCAGGAATAGATAATTTTTCCTAATTTGTTATCTATGCAATAGCACTACCTCACTTTTAGATTTTTACCTTTGTGAGACACTATCACTTCCACCACAATCATAGATGCGTATTACATACAGGAAGTGTGGTTTGGGTGCCCCATAGTAGTGCCACATGGTAGCATTCTGAGTAACTTTATAAACATATGCAAAAATGAAATTATAAAATTCGGACTCCACTGAAAACAAAGAAAAAATGTGATCTCTTAATTCTTCTTTGTAAATATTTTCACTATTACAGTGTTTAACCTCTTGGTTGCTTTTTCCTACCCTATCAGCTTCTCCTAACAATGTTTCAGACTTTTTTATAATCTAGTACAGGACAAGAAATATGGGGGAATTATTTGCAGCTTTGTCTCAAGCAAGAGACTTCCCATGTGCTGCATAATTCCCACATAGGAGCAGTAGCAGCTATAACAGGATCATCAGGGAAAGTGTATTTCATTATACTCAATGAGGTTGAAAAAATGACATTAGGGTACTGCCAGTTGTAACATGTGGCTTATTTAATTAGGTACAAGTAATAGGAGAACTCCCCAAATTAAATTCATCTGAGACAATTACTACATACAATATGAATGCTTGAGAGCTCTGATCTCCACATATTACTTGCAAAATGTCCAAGTGCAGCACTCTCACTCTTTCTAAATGGTTAGCTTGGGTGTTGCATGACTTAGTAGGGAAGCATGTAATTACTGCTACTATAGATGAAAAATAGTGGCAAACAGGGAGATTCACTTCAATAGCTCACTTCTGATCTAGACTAAAATGCTACCGAAGACACATCCATACTTTCCAACAAAACAAGGCTATCACCTGGCACAGGAAAGGAGATTATCCTTTGGTTGCAGGGTTAACTGGAAGAAATGCCTGGCCAGCGGATTTGACCAGTTTTCTTTCTACCATTTATAGCAAATAAACTGATTTCAGTGACTTTACAAATCATATACTTTAAAACCTCTATAATCCATTGGGTGATGTGAAAGAATAAACGTTGTAGGTATTTAGAATAGCCGAATCGCTTAGTGGACCTCTTGTGTGCCCTTATGAAATTTGGGGAATTACTGTTACAGGACTGAGGCGTTCTATAGGAAAAAATGAATGTGGTTTGCCCTGCATAGTATCACAAGACTTGAAAAAAAAATAGTTACGTCATATTAAAATTTTTCTTTATATATGCAGGAGGGAAAGTTGCAAATCCATTTTAAGTATACTACACACGTCTAAGAAACTTGGGCAGCTTTTACACGATCGACATTCCTCACCGGAACTCTGTTGATGTCCCCTCCCACAGACCAGAACGCCACCTAAAGCAGACGCCCCGACACGCAGAGAAGCCAGCCCCGAGGAAGGGCAGGGCAGCCTAAATCCCACCCCCGGCGCTGGCTCCGGGCACTTCCCACCGGGCAGAGCGCGCGGCGCCTGGGGGAAAGCTCCGCCCACTCCCGCCCCTCACGGCGCCACGCGCGGGCCGAGGGGGCGGAGGGAGGCGGCGCCATTTTGGGAGCGGGGGTCGTTGGCGCTGAGCCTCCCGGCCGGGAGTCGCTGCCTTGAGGTTCGTGTTCCCCGCTGCTGCTCGGCTGGGCCGCGAAGGGAAGCTGCTTCTCGTCCGCCACCACCGAGCTGTGCCACCACCGGGCGGGGAAGGGGCAGCGTGGGGATGGCGGTGTCAGCGCGCAGGAGCCGGTGGCTGCTGAGGTTGTGTGACGTGGGCGCCGCGCTGAGGGAAGTGTTTGTGTGTGGGGGAGAGGAGTGGGCTTTGCTCCTTGGGGAAGGGAGGGATGGGGCGGCTGATACACCTCCCGGAGGCATGGGGCCGGCGGCCGCGCCTTCACCTCGGACACGCCGCTGCCAGCCCAGTGTGGCAGCAACGCCTGTTTCCCCCGGCTCCCAGGTGTATCCTGGTGCCATATGAGGGGCACAGGGCTGTGCGCCTTGTGGCTGCCGTACCCACCGTGCAAGGAAAGCCAGACAGTTCCCATGTCTGTAGATTCTGCCAAATAGGCCTTATTTTTCCATTTAGGAAAGGTACTGTACAGGTGGAGTCCAAGGCCTTGAGTTAGTTAATTGAACCTTCTGGGTGTTTCACAGGTCATTTAAAGTGGTAAATAAGTCTGGCATGGTTCAGTGCTTACAGCCAGTTCTTTACAGAAATTATATAGACCCGAACTTGCCCCATTCTAGAGGTGAGAGTGTCAGAGAGACTGCACTTTTTTTGAGCATGCTTGCTCTGTCCTCGCCAAGGACGTAGGTGATTATGCTTTTGCATGCAGCTTCACTCTCTCCAAGGTTAGTGAGGGAAAGTCTTTTAGAGATTAGCAAGAAAGGATATTTATATGTGGGACAGTCACAGAGCAGCATTTGGTGTGATTGGAGAGCTTGTCATGCAGCAAGCGTTCAAATGGTTGCTGTTTTAATTCCACTTCAGGAAATGGGGTCTGCTCAAACACCATCCCAGAAGAAGATGAGGACATAGAAGCTAATAAAGTTACCTTTTTTACCCCAATACTGTTTTTGAGTGGAGGCAGAGTAACTTTTTTTTTTTTAGATGGAGATAGACTCAATGATTAGTAGTAATGTCATGCTTGCTTTCTTATGTGCCAAAAGGAAGCGTTAGGAAGCTGGAGATAGGCATAAAACACATAAGTCTTGAGAAGAAGAGAGAGCATAGTACCAATATTGAGGAAGAGAGAGAGTTGCATGGCCATGTTTCTTCCCCTTCTGACAGTAATGCTTTCTTCCAGGTACTAAAGTCAACTGTGGACAGTAAAATCTCCTTGGTTTAGCCAGTTTGAGACTGAGAATGGCGAGTTTCTCTTCCTTTGGATGGTAAGTGAGAAAGTGCCTAGAGTAACAGCTTTTCTTGTCAGTTTTGCAAGTGAACATGAAGTGGGGGTAATGGTTACTTACAAATCTTCCCATAACACTTCCTACAGATCCTTTTCAGATGAAGAAAAAAATTATTTTCTTATCCAGGATGAAGGGCATGTGACACTTTGTTAATATTTAGTTGCAGAAAGCTGAAATGTTTCAGAAAACATTTCTTTCTTGTTTGAAACTGCATTTGTTTGGAGGGAAAGAACTTGCTCTTTTTTGCATACTGTGTAGACTTCAAAATCCAAGAAATCCAGACTAATAGATGGATAATGGCATGCCATAGTGGTTAGTGCCATCTTGCTTTGTAATAGCTTGTCTCTGAACCTGTCTGGAACTTAGTGGTTTAATTCTTAGAATTAAATCTGTTTGAGAGTGGAATTTTTTTGTGTGTTTAATTTTAGAAGACATGTAAGCAAATGGTCTTGGTCCCTAACAAAAGTCTTTAGTAGTTCCAAAACCAGAACCATAGTAACAGATTGCAGCTTTGCTTTTAAGTCTTATTTGACTAGTTCGAAATTACAAATGGCAATCAGCACCTGTTTGGTTGGTGTTAAATGAATTAGTTGAGTTTGGTTCATGTCACAGAAGACAATCCTCATGGTTGAAGTAGTTGCATTTTTATTGTTCTTATTATTAGTGATATCAAGCATCAGTTTGTGCATTGGAAGTTGGCATATACTTATGTGTAAAGGAGATTTCAAACACTTGTTGAATAACAGCTAGTTAGAGAACGTTAGTAACGTACATCAGAGATTGCTGAAGTAATTAATTTTTCAAATAGTCACATTTTAAAAGCATGATTTGCAAATTATTTAAGGCATATCATAAAATGTGACTGCTGGATTGATACAGCACTAATGTTATTTTTTATTAAAGATGAGCCGTAAGTAATATAGCAATCTCGTTTATACTGTACTTGTGGTAGAGGATGTCTGTTTTTCTTATGGGTGAGTACATTCTAGTTATGACCATGGAGAGTGTGATGTCATAGGCCTGAATAACTTCAGCTTTTTTATACTTTACTTTAAAAATGTGCATGCTGATAAAGTATTAATTCTTTTTTCTAAGATTCTTCATGCTGAAAATACAGTAAGGCTCTTGGAGTGTCAGGACGAAATCAGAATTGGACCATATTCTAAAAGAATGAAGTCAACAGAAGGGGCTTGTGAGAAACTCCCTGAGGATGATAACAAAGGTACTCAGAAGAAAATGGATATTGAGAGAAAATCAGATGGTTGGATACCTACATGTGCCTTAGATAACCAAGGGCAGCATGAAATGCAGAAGCAAGAGAAAATACCTACTGGTGCCTTGGGATCCTTGAATGAAGTTCTCCCTGAAAGTAATCCAGTGCTTAGTCAGACAGTTGATTTAGAAACTGTGCAGAATATAAATCCTCCATTTGCATCAATAAATGACTCCAAAGTTGAAGAAGAGAAGGACCCCTCTATTTCAAGTAATGCTGATCAAGATAATATTGAGAAAAGCAGTACATCATTCTTAGTAAATAGAAATGAATCAGACGAAGACTTTTTTACAAGCAAAGATTTTATAGGGCCTATTTACAAGCCTCCCAAAAGTAACAAACAGGACAAATCTGGCAATTGCAATGAATGGAGTGCTGAAGGAGATGGGAATGAATTACATGAAAACAGATGTAAAGGAAAGGAGGTGAAGAATATGCAGGCTGTTTCTGCCACTGTACCAGAAATAGATGATGAACTGGATCAGTTCTATAAAGAAATTCACCAGCTGGAAAATGAAAATTTAGATACTAATGTTCAGGAAAAAGAAACAGAAGTTTCTCAAGAGCAGCACTCTGCTTTTAACTCTAGTCAAAGCTCGCAAGAGAATTATCAACCTATACTTTTGGGCAATCCACAGCCGTTTTACGAGAATGGACAGTGTTGTTTGGGGGAGCAGCACAACCAGAAAACAAACAACGAGCAGCAGTTAGTTGTGGAAACAGATGGCTGGAAAACTGAAAATACCTTTAATGGCCAAGTAGATACTTGGAACTGCTCAGTGCCTGAATTCAGACCTGCTTGGCAGACCAGAGCATCTTTCAAAAAACCTCAGGGATCTTTTCCTCCTAGATTAAACCATTATTCCCATTTTCAGATATTTGATCCCCCACCACGAATCCCAAATGTTCCCCCTTCTCAGAATGGGCGACTTCCTTATGAAAGTTACCATCATTACCATGGAAGTACTGATGCCAACAGTCATGGTCCATTGCTTGATCAAAATACCAACTATTCTGGTCATACTGACATCCGTACTACTCAGGTCTTAAGAAATGGAAACAATGATCAGACCGGACTCCAAAGTAGTGGTTTCTGTGAAACCAGAGAAGAGTGTTGGAAGGATCCAAAATCTGACAGTACAGAAGGAATGCACAGCTTTTCTTCATTGCAGTTATCTGAAGAAAGATTCAGTTGTTCACAGAAATTGCTTTTAATCTTAAGAGGCCTACCAGGTTCGGGGAAATCAACCCTTTCTCGGTAAGTAAAGAATTAAAGCTTGAGAAGTTTATTCAAAATTCAAAATTGAAAATAATTGGTTTTGGTGTATTAATGAAACTAAGCATTATCTCATTCGCTTTTTTCACAGTATGGTCTGTCAATTGCTCTTCCTTATTTGTGAACAACGCACAAGAAAAGTAGTATTTTTTTCTTCAAAATGTACTTGTTAAAGTCTGACAGGGTTAAAAAAGCAAGGTACCACCTCCAACTTAGATTTCCCCTTTCGTCTTTTTTTGGCGTATTTTAAAAAGCACAAAAAGTGACAGAGCACAGATGCTACCTGTATTAAGTGAAAATAAGTTTCTCTTGTGTATATAAAAAAAAGTTGTTAAATCAGTGCTTACTGATTGAGTTTCATCCAGAAACTACATCACGGATGGGACGTAGTTATCTTCTGTGGTTATCATCTATTGTATGTGAGGAGCCTGTGGAATAGATAAAGTGATCATGTCCTTACTTCTTTTTCTATGTCAAGGAGAAATATTGTATTAGTAGATTTTTCCTGATATTTAGGAGACAGTCATCTTCATAGTACAGCTAGAAATCTCTAATAGATTTGTCTTACATGTTTCAGTAATTTTCGCTATAATTTTTTTGTAGTTACTGATTGCTGTATTTTGCAAATCTGCATTTTTGAAGCTGCATGTCCCCAGTTGGTATTACTGCAATAATTCCTTTAATATGTGAAGGCAACTTAAAAAAATTTTTAAATAGCCCTATGGAAAAAATCTTGCCTCATTCAGTCCAGAGATTGGATAATACTTAACATGAAGGTACCAAATAAACTTGTTTTCCATGTTTGATGTTCTAAATAATCTCAAAATCTTTCTCCAAATGTATGACTCCTATTTTCTGAAAAAATTCTAAGTATTTTCAGGTTTTTAAGAATATGTATTTGTGCTTTTTTTCATCTCTCGTTAGTGAGATCAGTTCCTAATTTTATTTAGCAGATGGTAAAGTGGGCACTATGAGATCAAGGTTAAGAATAGTTACCAAAAGTGAGTGCAGAATTTGAAGGCATGGGGCTTGTTTTTCAGTGTATTCAATTACATGCAGTTTTATGTGTTTAATGCTTGGTTGCAATTATTAATTCCCATGAAATCATGGATCTTGGATACCTTAGGGAAAAAACATCCCAGAATTAATGGGTGCCGATGGGGAAAATACCTTTATTATTAGATAAGTCTTAATAAACATATTTTGAACATGTTTTTCTATGTAACATCATAGAATTCTGCAGCGTAGACTAGGACAGCAATGATGTTACACCTGAGGTCATATTAATACCCACAGGTATCTTTGCAGATGCAGCATTTTTGGCACCTGCAGACAAACCTCTACCCTTTGTGCTGGTAAAATAACTGTGAAGGAAAAGCGGAAAACAGACGTTGCATATATGGATCAGCACTAGCGGGGAATGAAGTGTATCTTGCAAGTGGCTTTCCCAAGCAGGAAGTGGCAGCAGAGCTAGTAGTGAGACCTTGGAAGCTAAAATTTCTATTTGTGTTTTGTGCTAAGTAAAGGTTCTTATGTACAGACACTTTTCTTCCCGCTCACAAACTTTACTTGTGTGTGTCTTGAATCTTCCACCAAAGTCTGGTTTTTTGTTTTGACTCTTCCATTCCAACTAAGCAGTTGGAATTACGGGCACATTTTTTGGAAAAGTAGTGGATGTGAACTAGTCCACTGTTCTGCTTGGAGGAGGTCTGTCACCATCACTGGATCAGGTCAGGTATGTCATTGTCAGGCCTGATCTCAAAAACACCACAGAGATTCCTGTGGTCTCACCAAACTTCTCTAGTGCAGTGCAAACCACCTAGGTAAGTAATTTCTTCCTAATCTCCAAACTGAAGTTCTCGAGCTGTAATTTGCATGTCCTGTCTAATAACATGTGTTGTTATGTAGTAGAATATGGCTCATCTTCTTTGCAGCTTCCCTTCTGATAAGGGAGAGGTTTATTCACTGTAGTAGGCTGACATCAGACCTTTTACTGTCTCCACTGCCAGACTAGACAAACCCAGCTGCTGTTCGTCTCCCCTTGGAGGTTGTATGCCTGTAGCCATCTTTGTAGCCATCTGTTCAGCCCTCCCATGTTTTTCAGCATGTCTTTTGAACTGGGAAGTCCCACACTGGAGACAATATTTCAGAATTGACCACACAAGAGCTAGGCGGAGTGAATGATACCTGCTCAGGTCATCTCCTGGCTAAGCTTCCTCTGCTGAAGCTCAGGTGGTGATTTGCCCCACCTTTGAATCACTCATCTCATTTGATGTCCGCTGTCCTCAGACTCTTTTCAACATAGCTGCTCTACCACTCACTTTCCTGCCTGTGCTGAGGCTTAAGTTTCATCAGTTGTAGAACTTTACTTTTTCCTTGTTGAGCTTCCTGGTGTTTTGCTTAGCCCAGTTCTCAGGTTTCTCTGTGGTTTTCTGGATAGAAGTTTCACTGTTCAGCTCAGTGTTGAGCACCGCTGCTGATTGGGTGTCGCCTGCAAGTTCTCTGGCTCATTGTCCAGGTTAATGATGAAGATACTGAAAAAGTGGTTCTTGCTATATCCTTTGTTCTCTGCTTGTTACTGGCTGGGAGATGATGTTGGAAGCTTTGATAATTTCTGAATATGCTGCATTCATCGCTCAGTCCTTATTGACAAAGGCACTTGTTTCATCAGAGAGTGCATTCTGGTCAGTAAAGGATGCTTTATCTGTTGCAAACCCCACATTGACTCTTCCTGGTTACCTTAATTTCCTTAACGTGTTTGGAAATAGATTTTTGAGGATGCACTCCATTGTTTCAAGAATAGAGCTTAGATGAGGTTGAGTAGCCAGCCATTAGTTCTTTGTGTCTTTGTCTTTACTTGCCTTAAATATGAGCATAACATCAGCCATTTTTGGCTCATTGGGGAGCTCCACTCATCTCATGGATTTATTTCTTGTGTCCACTTGACTTAGACAATCCTAGCCCCTGAGACTCATATGAAATCCTGTTTCTTAACCATCCATTTCCATTTTTGTTTTCCTGTTCATTTCCAATCATGGGTTTTGGTCTGTGCTCACTAACTCCATGTCTGCTTCTGAATTCTAGGGTGATTTCTTCAATTATAGCCGTCTTATTTCTACCCAGATTCATTTTCTCCCTGTTTCAGACAGTGGTATTATCTCCCTCCCAACTTCATTATACCCAGTGTCTTCCCTCTGCTTCACTCTTTGCCTTGGCTCTGTTTCCTGGCTCTGCTGCCAATACCAAGTTGCATGTTCCAATGTTTATACCACGATGCTTCGTGCGTCCTCCTATTTTAGGCCAATTTTGTTCCTTGTATTGCCATTCTTGTGTTGGGAGAAATTTGTTCTTATGATGCAGTATTGGTCCTGAATCAGCTTCCTGCCACTGCCCAATTGCTCTGTTCAGGATTGGTTTTACTGCAGTGAGAATCACGACTTCTTTTCACTACTATTTGCTGTGAACATGGCATTTTAAAGCTGTATACCTTGGGCAGATTTATGAAAAGTTTTTGCAGCGCAAACAAGCACAGATTTCATCTCTTCACTCCAAAGCTTTTCAGAGAAAAGCTTAGAATAACAGAATGTTATGCAAATGCTTTGTTTTTTCCTTGGTTTTGGAAGAGATTGAGCATTTAGTTAAAAATGTTTGGAAACAGTTTGGCCAGACAGATACCCAGCAGTGTTAGCTTTAGCCCAAGTAACCAAAGTCTGCTACAATTAGAAATAGATGATCATGTGATGTTACAGTCCTGGGAAAAGTTACAGGAAAAGAGACTTGTATTTTTAAAACATTTTGCTACTGAAGTTGGCAGCAATTGCAATTTGCCTTTTCTCCATAAATATCTAAGCATTAATTTGAATGAAAGGGAGCTTAATGAAATTGAGAGAAGAAATACTGGTGTCATTTAACAAGTCCATTTTTAATTAAACTCAGTAATATATAAGAACAGTTGTCTTTCTCTGGGGCCATTCTTCTTCAGAGCAAAATCTTCTGAAGGGAAGAGTTAGAGTTGGTGTTTATAGCTGAATGTAGAAACAGTGGTGTGCTATTGTTTCTAATTATGTATTTATTTAAACATTGTTACAGTGTTTATTTAAACAGCGCCTTTAGAGGAGCATTTACATGGCTCAATAATGCTGCATATTTTGAAACTGTATTTAGTTATTGCCTACTTTTTTCTTCATCCACTATATGCTAGCAGTTTTAAATAGGTTAATTATTAAATTGAGATACCTTTTTTATTATAAAATAACTTATCAAAGTAGGCTAAACAGGTTACAGATTAGGGGACTGCATTAGTTTTGAAGAAAAAGAGTTTGTGTGTGTGCATGCATGCATGCACACATGCATTGGAAAAAATGTGTGTTGGTTTGCTGACTCGTTAATATTTTTATTTCAACATGAGATTTTTGTATGTCAGGATAATAGCTTGTATTAGATCAGATAGCATTTCTGGAAAAAATAGGTGAGCTGCTTTAATTTCAATGTCCTACTGTGTTCAAAGGTGTGTTTTTGCTTGGAGGGAAGGTTTATAGTGAAGATGTATTACAGCAGCTGGATAATATGCTACTCATACCAAGCATGGGTGCATACGGGTGCTGACTAATCTATCATTTGACTCTCATTAGAAATACGTGTGTTTTTTTTTCTTTTTTCATCTCTTAAAAGTGGAATATTATCCCTGTGGGTTTAGATAGTAATGATGCTTTTGTTCTATAGGTATGCTTTTTGTTTTTTCTGTTCTTTAGTTCATGGGCCTGGGATAAATTTTTATTTCCAAACACGTGTTAGAGGTAAATGAATTTTTCCATATGATGTCACCCAGTAGTTTTCTGCTTTGAATTTTAAAAATTTAAGTACTGTGAATTCTGAAAGAAGTAATTGTCAGGCTTTTAAAATGTTAGGTTTTATGATTTAATTTCACAATTTAGAAAGAGGTTCCAGTCATTACTGTAATATTTAAAGTTTCAATTCATAAACTTGTGACTTTGTGATAGCTTGTGTGTTGCAGATGGGCTAAGGGCTCTGTTACCCTGGCCTCTTTGGTAACTACTTTGCCTTCTCAAATTTTATGAGCTTAGGATATTAAATCTGTTTTTTCATTTATATTGGTTAATTAATAATTGTGGTGTATTCTGAACTTCAAGGAATACTAACAAACTATTTCAAGAATACACTTTGTTGGTGGGTTTGCAAGATTTCTGAGTCCTTGTCCTGTATTTCTTTATTGCTACTAATGATGTTTGGAAGTTACAACGAAAGAATTCGAGTAAGTGATTTATTCTCCAGAACATGAGCAAATAGAGTCAGTTCTTAGAAATAAAAATGAAAATCAATGTCTCATGAGTGTTGATTTGTCAGTTGATATATTCCTATAGAGACCTGATGCTCAGGCTCCTAGGAACAATAGGGGTGTGTCCACCTACTCAGCCAATATAAGAATCCCAGATATTATTTGCTATCTTTATTTATTAAGGCAGATGATTCTTTAGGATATGTGTATATACAGTCAGCACACAAGGAGTGAGTGTGGAAGATGGATCCAGTTTTTCTGGCATTATTAATTGGCAAACGTAGCATACTGTAAATAAGAGAATGAAGCCATGTGTGAAAAATCACAGCCAAGTAACTTAATGAATATAAATTTGTTAAATATTTTATACAAGAGAGGAAGACGGATAAAAAAATTGGTGCTGTGTGTGGTGTAAGATTTACTGGTGCCATTTGATCTATTCAGAACAAAAATAGATGATTAATCCTCCCACCCTCTTCTAAACCAGTGTAATACACACTATTGAAAGATCTAGGCTCTAACAAAACCAATTATTTATCAGTGTTCAATAAAGTGAGTGCACTTCTCAAATAGCATTGCTATTTGTCCTGAAGCAACCTTAAAGCTCTGGAAAAGGAAGAACAAAGAGGAAATAAGTTTGTATGCAGCTTTGATCACATTATTTGACATTGCACCATTAGTAGTTTCTTCTGGTCTTTAGTAATCTGAATTTTGTTGTACGTATGTCTGTATCTGAAAAGCAAACATAACCAGCAGTGCAGTTGTGGAACAGTAAACCTGTAGGAGTATAAACCAGCGCGTGATAGAATGTCCCAGTCGTTAAACTGTGATTCATAACGGGCTGTTGGTGACAGGTGGCAAAACATAGCTAATTTCTTGTGTAGGGATTACATTTAAGTGGCTCTTCATGCAGATATGTATGGGAAGACTTGCTAACTTAGAATTAACATATCTTTATTCCCCTAAGTTATTTGGAATCTGCCAATTCTTTCTTTGTTCCTGCACCTCAGCAGTAGTGCAGTCCCACATACTGCTAGTACAGTTCAGCTTTTGTAGCCAGTGGGTATGTTGCCTATTTCTAAACTAGAATAGTTCCCTAAATTTCTATAGGACAGTGATATCTGAGTGTTGCAGTGGGCACTACATGCTCTGTGGCACTAACTGGCTGTTTTCTGTTTTCAGATTTAAATATGCCATAGAATTAAAAAGAGACATGGTGGCTTCAAGTCCAATCTACTCCTGTTCTGTAGGCTGGACTTTAAACAGAATTGTAATGTTGTCTCAGTTACGTAAGGTTTTCCTTTAAACACTGATTTCCAAGGACTTTCTGAAACTAGGTTTACATTTGGCAGAATGGGGAGTTCTCATGATCAGATTGCTTTCTAGACGTATTTCCAAGTGAAGATTGAGATGGAAAATGTTAGCAAATACGTTCAGTTATTATGAGGTACTTGGAACTTGCTGTAGTATAGTCATAAAATTAGATGGATATAAACATCTCTTGGGAGTGGAGAAGAAACAACAAATACAGAAATAGTAGAGGGAGGAAATATTGCTTTGATTTGGATTAGAATTATTAGTAATATATATGAGTGTCTTTTTATAAATCTGTTTGAAGTTTGCAAGAAGTTCAGAAATAGGTCACAGTTCATATTTTTTGATGTGTTTATCTCTCTGAAAATTAAAATTGAATATATTTCTATATTTCCCCTTAACAGTGTTCTGCTTGGTCAGAGTTGTGACGGCGTTGTGCTCAGCACCGATGATTATTTTCGTCAGCAGTATGGATACTCCTATAATGCTGCTCAGCTTGGTGATGCCCATGAGTGGAACCGGAAAAGAGGTTGGAATGAATAAAAGGCATCCTGTTAAGCTGTGTTACATAGAGGAAATAAAAGTGTAGCATAACATGTATGATTATTACGAGTCTATAAGAAAAGGAGTATATATATTTTAGCAAAGCATATATAGAAGTATTTCAAATATTTATTTTACTTTAATTCATGTATTATGCATTGAATATATGCATTGAATCTTGAACTTATACAAGGGTCAGAGTTTAAAATAGATAACCTTATTTCTTTGGGCATTAGGTTCTTGGTTCTACTTCTTTTCGTTCCTGCCTGTACCTTTTATTCTTTCTCTTAGAACAGAGTGCTTCAGTCGGAATAGATTAGTGAAAGAAAATCTGGGCCAGTTTATTTTTTTTGTTGTTTGAGTTACATGTGGTTTATTAACTTGCACAATTTTTCATTGCAGCAAAGCAAGCAATGGAGCAGGGAAAATCTCCAGTTATAATAGACAACACTAATACTCAAGCCTGGGAAATGAAGCCATATGTGGAAGTGGTAGGTTTTGTTGCATGATTGTCACCTGTAACAGTTTTTCAAACTTAACCTCACATGTGATAAGTTCATGTGTTTTGTCCAGAAACATTTTTACTCAAGTTTTTAAAGAGAGAGGCTGCTTATTGGTAATGTTTAGATCAATTCAAGGATTGGCTTGATTCAATTTGCTTAGCCTGCAACAAAAGCTAAGACAGATTGGGAGTAAGTGAAATTCAGCATAGTACCACATCTGCATCTGTTTATTATGCATGTCTTTTATTTTTTTCTTATGTTCTGTGTGATCATGATACACATCACACATATTTCTTTGCTTGCTGCAGGCTCTAGAAAAAGGATACAGAGNAATGCTGCATATTTTGAAACTGTATTTAGTTATTGCCTACTTTTTTCTTCATCCACTATATGCTAGCAGTTTTAAATAGGTTAATTATTAAATTGAGATACCTTTTTTATTATAAAATAACTTATCAAAGTAGGCTAAACAGGTTACAGATTAGGGGACTGCATTAGTTTTGAAGAAAAAGAGTTTGTGTGTGTGCATGCATGCATGCACACATGCATTGGAAAAAATGTGTGTTGGTTTGCTGACTCGTTAATATTTTTATTTCAACATGAGATTTTTGTATGTCAGGATAATAGCTTGTATTAGATCAGATAGCATTTCTGGAAAAAATAGGTGAGCTGCTTTAATTTCAATGTCCTACTGTGTTCAAAGGTGTGTTTTTGCTTGGAGGGAAGGTTTATAGTGAAGATGTATTACAGCAGCTGGATAATATGCTACTCATACCAAGCATGGGTGCATACGGGTGCTGACTAATCTATCATTTGACTCTCATTAGAAATACGTGTGTTTTTTTTTCTTTTTTCATCTCTTAAAAGTGGAATATTATCCCTGTGGGTTTAGATAGTAATGATGCTTTTGTTCTATAGGTATGCTTTTTGTTTTTTCTGTTCTTTAGTTCATGGGCCTGGGATAAATTTTTATTTCCAAACACGTGTTAGAGGTAAATGAATTTTTCCATATGATGTCAACCAGTAGTTTTCTGCTTTGAATTTTAAAAATTTAAGTACTGTGAATTCTGAAAGAAGTAATTGTCAGGCTTTTAAAATGTTAGGTTTTATGATTTAATTTCACAATTTAGAAAGAGGTTCCAGTCATTACTGTAATATTTAAAGTTTCAATTCATAAACTTGTGACTTTGTGATAGCTTGTGTGTTGCAGATGGGCTAAGGGCTCTGTTACCCTGGCCTCTTTGGTAACTACTTTGCCTTCTCAAATTTTATGAGCTTAGGATATTAAATCTGTTTTTTCATTTATATTGGTTAATTAATAATTGTGGTGTATTCTGAACTTCAAGGAATACTAACAAACTATTTCAAGAATACACTTTGTTGGTGGGTTTGCAAGATTTCTGAGTCCTTGTCTTATTGCTACTAATGATGTTTGGAAGTTACAACGAAAGAATTCGAGTAAGTGATTTATTCTCCAGAACATGAGCAAATAGAGTCAGTTCTTAGAAATAAAAATGAAAATCAATGTCTCATGAGTGTTGATTTGTCAGTTGATATATTCCTATAGAGACCTGATGCTCAGGCTCCTAGGAACAATAGGGGTGTGTCCACCTACTCAGCCAATATAAGAATCCCAGATATTATTTGCTATCTTTATTTATTAAGGCAGATGATTCTTTAGGATATGTGTATATACAGTCAGCACACAAGGAGTGAGTGTGGAAGATGGATCCAGTTTTTCTGGCATTATTAATTGGCAAACGTAGCATACTGTAAATAAGAGAATGAAGCCATGTGTGAAAAATCACAGCCAAGTAACTTAATGAATATAAATTTGTTAAATATTTTATACAAGAGAGGAAGACGGATAAAAAAATTGGTGCTGTGTGTGGTGTAAGATTTACTGGTGCCATTTGATCTATTCAGAACAAAAATAGATGATTAATCCTCCCACCCTCTTCTAAACCAGTGTAATACACACTATTGAAAGATCTAGGCTCTAACAAAACCAATTATTTATCAGTGTTCAATAAAGTGAGTGCACTTCTCAAATGGCATTGCTGTTTGTCCTGAAGCAACCTTAAAGCTCTGGAAAAGGAAGAACAAAGAGGAAATAAGTTTGTATGCAGCTTTGATCACATTATTTGACATTGCACCATTAGTAGTTTCTTCTGGTCTTTAGTAATCTGAATTTTGTTGTACGTATGTCTGTATCTGAAAAGCAAACATAACCAGCAGTGCAGTTGTGGAACAGTAAACCTGTAGGAGTATAAACCAGCGCGTGATAGAATGTCCCAGTCGTTAAACTGTGATTCATAACGGGCTGTTGGTGACAGGTGGCAAAACATAGCTAATTTCTTGTGTAGGGATTACATTTAAGTGGCTCTTCATGCAGATATGTATGGGAAGACTTGCTAACTTAGAATTAACATATCTTTATTCCCCTAAGTTATTTGGAATCTGCCAATTCTTTCTTTGTTCCTGCACCTCAGCAGTAGTGCAGTCCCACATACTGCTAGTACAGTTCAGCTTTTGTAGCCAGTGGGTATGTTGCCTATTTCTAAACTAGAATAGTTCCCTAAATTTCTATAGGACAGTGATATCTGAGTGTTGCAGTGGGCACTACATGCTCTGTGGCACTAACTGGCTGTTTTCTGTTTTCAGATTTAAATATGCCATAGAATTAAAAAGAGACATGGTGGCTTCAAGTCCAATCTACTCCTGTTCTGTAGGCTGGACTTTAAACAGAATTGTAATGTTGTCTCAGTTACGTAAGGTTTTCCTTTAAACACTGATTTCCAAGGACTTTCTGAAACTAGGTTTACATTTGGCAGAATGGGGAGTTCTCATGATCAGATTGCTTTCTAGACGTATTTCCAAGTGAAGATTGAGATGGAAAATGTTAGCAAATACGTTCAGTTATTATGAGGTACTTGGAACTTGCTGTAGTATAGTCATAAAATTAGATGGATATAAACATCTCTTGGGAGTGGAGAAGAAACAACAAATACAGAAATAGTAGAGGGAGGAAATATTGCTTTGATTTGGATTAGAATTATTAGTAATATATATGAGTGTCTTTTTATAAATCTGTTTGAAGTTTGCAAGAAGTTCAGAAATAGGTCACAGTTCATATTTTTTGATGTGTTTATCTCTCTGAAAATTAAAATTGAATATATTTCTATATTTCCCCTTAACAGTGTTCTGCTTGGTCAGAGTTGTGACGGCGTTGTGCTCAGCACCGATGATTATTTTCGTCAGCAGTATGGATACTCCTATAATGCTGCTCAGCTTGGTGATGCCCATGAGTGGAACCGGAAAAGAGGTTGGAATGAATAAAAGGCATCCTGTTAAGCTGTGTTACATAGAGGAAATAAAAGTGTAGCATAACATGTATGATTATTACGAGTCTATAAGAAAAGGAGTATATATATTTTAGCAAAGCATATATAGAAGTATTTCAAATATTTATTTTACTTTAATTCATGTATTATGCATTGAATATATGCATTGAATCTTGAACTTATACAAGGTTCAGAGTTTAAAATAGATAACCTTATTTCTTTGGGCATTAGGTTCTTGGTTCTACTTCTTTTCGTTCCTGCCTGTACCTTTTATTCTTTCTCTTAGAACAGAGTGCTTCAGTCGGAATAGATTAGTGAAAGAAAATCTGGGCCAGTTTATTTTTTTTGTTGTTTGAGTTACATGTGGTTTATTAACTTGCACAATTTTTCATTGCAGCAAAGCAAGCAATGGAGCAGGGAAAATCTCCAGTTATAATAGACAACACTAATACTCAAGCCTGGGAAATGAAGCCATATGTGGAAGTGGTAGGTTTTGTTGCATGATTGTCACCTGTAACAGTTTTTCAAACTTAACCTCACATGTGATAAGTTCATGTGTTTTGTCCAGAAACATTTTTACTCAAGTTTTTAAAGAGAGAGGCTGCTTATTGGTAATGTTTAGATCAATTCAAGGATTGGCTTGATTCAATTTGCTTAGCCTGCAACAAAAGCTAAGACAGATTGGGAGTAAGTGAAATTCAGCATAGTACCACATCTTTATTTTTTTCTTATGTTCTATGTGATCATGATACACATCACACGTATTTCTTTGCTTGCTGCAGGCTCTAGAAAAAGGATACAGAGTGGAATTCCATGAGCCAAATACTTGGTGGAAGTTTGATCCTGAAGAATTAGAAAAGTAAGGTTTCTCTTACTGTAAAAAAAGTTCCATGGATAAACAAGTAGACAAATAAATACCAGCTCCATCCTATTGGCCCAAAATGTCAATATTAAAATTTTATTGGACATGTGACTTAGAGTACTTAGAGTACTGTTGAACATGGGTCATTGAACTTCTGGGTTCTGAGAGTGCTTGGGAAGTTGCTTATTCTTCCTGGATAATGTCCTTTTGTCTTAGATATATCTGCTTTAGGAATATATAAGGTATCAAACCAGCTCAGGGATATTTCTTTGTTTGAAAAGTAGTGTAATATTTTCCCAGCTGATGACAGAGTTCTCTCACTTATTTTGTTCTGTATGCATCCAGCTGACTTTGCCTCTAATTGTTTCGGCTTTGTAAAGTAACCCCTACAGTGCACAAAGTATGTGTGTATAATGCTTGCATTACTGACTTGGACTTTATTGTGTTTAAATGTTCTAAAGTTTTCACCTTTTGCTCGTAAGCTACCACTCACTTGTATCTAGAGATGGAGTTCTCTCTCTGTAGAATGGTAGCAAGTTTTTCTAGTTTGGCATGCTGCATAGACAAGTTGGGAATCTTAGTAATCAAGCACGTCAAAGATACTCAGCATGAGGTTTCCATTACATGAAACAGACTCATTTTCCAGGAAAATTCATGTTTCCACATGATCTTAACAGGTAACAGAGTAAACTGTTGTGTTGTTACTGTTGAATTTTATTGTTCAAGTAATAATTCTTGGACTAAAGTTGGTGTCTTTCCCAGAGCAAAACCCTTGAACTGTGAAGTGCTGTTACCATTTTTTAGAAGATTCTTAGAACTATTTTAGCAGTTCTTGTTGCTTTAAATATTTAAGCAGAGGCCTATTTCCTGGAAACTATTTTTTGGGGAGTTTAAGTAAGGTGGTGATGTAAGTTTTCATGTTGTTCTTTAGTTACTTTGGGAGTGGGCTCCTGAGTTTTGTTTCATCAGCAAGCTTGCTGAGGGTGCAGTTGTGGAGGGTAGTAGGAAAGCATTTAATAGTGGCAGAACTTTGCTTTTATCAGTAGGTTCTGTGTTCCTCCACACAAAACAATGTTCCTCCTCCCATCTGTTAGGAGCTTCTGCTGCTGTGTCTGCTTTGGTTCAGATAGATGACTTTATGCTCTCTCAGTATAGCCAAGCTGCCAAAGAATGAGTGAAGACATGCCTGAAGAGGAGATACCAGTATTAAATGACACTATACAGCAAATTGATTTCCTTTTTTAAATCAGTTTCTATGCTTGATGCAATTTTGCTGTGGGTGATTTTATTATCCTGCCTTCCTCTGCAAGGAAAAGTACTTCCTCTTTTATGAAGTGATTATGCTCAAGTCCATTCAATTGTGGATGAGTGTGCACTTTATGTTCAGAGCACTTGAGCAGTAATCTTTTCCTAGGAGTACTAAGACAGGGAAAATATTGAATAACTTTATGCTTCTCCAGCATTTGGCATTAAAAGATTTAGACTTGCTCTTCTCATTTTTTGTCTGTCATGAATGTCAAGTGCTTTATAAAGTCCACGTATTTCTAGAGGGTTGACCTTTTCCTCTACCATTAACCTTGTTCATATTTGTGAATAAAATCAAAACTGCTAAGACTCACCAAGTGATTAGTTCAATATGCAGCTGCTCTTGGGCTGCTTTAGCACAACGTAGAAATTAGAAGGATTTAAACAATGAGCCGCATGCAATGATCACTCCGGTTTCTGGTGTTGTCTACGGGAAGAGTGTCTGTGAGAGAAATGCTCTGCTTAAGCGTTTTCTTTGCAGAAAAAAACCTGAAAAAATACACATTTAAAGAGCCAATGTAATTTTGAATGGTTCTGAGATCACAAATTCTGTTCCATTCTGAATATGAAACTAGTGTGCAACCTGCAGTGTGCTTTGAATCCTTGTCAACTTAATACTTACTTCTTTGTTGTAATAAAACTTATAAAGTCCTGAGGGGACGTGGGTGGTGAGAAATCAATCTTCTAAAATATTTCTGTATGGAATATCATCTTTCCAGTATAGCCTGTTTGTTCCCAGTGTTGATTTCTTCTCTGTAGAACTGAGCAAGTTGGTAAGGCCATACCTCTTCTGTCCCTGGCAGAAAGCACAAAGGTGTAGAAATATATTCCCTGTTGCTTTGTTGTGGACATAATGTAGCTTGGACAAGGTTTCTTGGCAATAAGAAGTATTGGCTTATGATAAATGCTATTCGATGCTATCAATACATTTTGTTTCTGTTTTGTGTCTCTTTCAGATTAATTTCTGTTACAATTCTGTCAATTCTCTGACATTGTTTGTGAATGAGGCTTGTGGTTTTCTTCTGGCAGAGACTGAAATTCTCTGCTAACGTGAATTTTAAGGTCCTAATCCATAGATACCGAGGAGATGTATATACTCTTAATGTAACGTGTGACAGTTCAGGTTCTTAATAGACCAAGTTCTCGCTGAACGTAGCTGGTCACTGAGCGCTGCAAGAATAGAACAGCACTTCTGGTACCTTTTCCCTTACATGTGTTTTAGTACATTTCTAAATTTACAAGTGTCAGTTAAAACTAGTAGGTGAAAGTGTTGTGAGCATGTCATTCTGGTTCAGAACTGAAGTTGTTTCTTATTCTGTAGAGAGGCTTCTTGATGAGAAAATATTCTGTCATTAAGTCTTGAAACAATGTAGCTGCATATTTTATGCTAGTTTGAACATTTCTTTCATAAGGAGAAGTCTATGCTATTATTCATCCCTCTACTCATTAGCTAGTATACTATGTAAAATCTGATGAATAAATAGTAAAATCCTTCTAAGGTAATTCGGGTGCATAGTTGCAGTGAATAACATCAAGTTTGTGTATAAAGAAGAGTAACTGTATTGTTTACTGCTACTCAATATGTGCAGCTATGAATTGTTAAAATAAAAATGCAAGTTGAATGCTTAGAGATGAGGTTATAGAGTAATAAAAGCAAGCAGAAAAAATTGACAATTTAGAAGGTTTTTCCTTAAAGACTGTAACATGCAATTATATGTAATACTTACATATAACTATAAACATACCAGACAATTTATTGATTTTTTTTTTTTTTTTTTTGTAGGAGGAATAAGCATGGGGTCACCCGTGAGAAGATTGCTCAGATGTTGGAACGATACGAGTATCAAATATCCATCCCTATTGTCATGAATTCAATGGTACCTCCCCACAAAAGCACTCAAAGACTACCTCTGCAGAGAAGACATAGGTGGGGAGACAATACAGACTCATGGAATTCTTTCAGTATTTCCAGTAGCCAGTAACACAGTTGCAGTCAGTTAATAAGATTTTATTATTTGCCCTTTTAAAACACATCATCACCTCCAATGAAGTAGTGATCTTCTGTGTTTTAAATATGACTATTTCAAGACCATTTTCTTCTAGAGGTTGTTCTTTTTAATGGACTTGTATGTAAATAAAATTGTACATTTCATGATTTTTAAAGCTATATTTATTAAAGTTGTAAGACCTTGGATTTTAGTAAAATATTAAATATAGTATGGTATATAGCAGAGTCTTTCTACATAAATCTAAGACAATGATGTCTGTCATACATTAGGTAACTTTTGAGCAGGTTTTTTTTAAGAAGGGGTAATATTAAGGGTCTTTTAAAAGAGAAGAGTTTATTTACATAGTAATCAATTTTAATGATTGTTATTTAGACTACTTACCATTTTGGAGATTTTTTTGAAAGCAACTACGTTCTGGATTGTCCTTTAGTTCTGTTTGGCATGTATTGCCCATTGGCAACATTTTCACGTGTGTTTTTGGATTTCAGTTAAGAGGTTTGATTTTTTTTCCGTGTTGTTTTGTTGGTTTTTGAGGTTTTTTTTCCTTTCTTTTTTTGATCTAAGAAGTTCATGTGGCAGCTGAAGCACCATTCTGCCAGTACAGTATTCACCAGCCATAAACTGTGCAATCTGGATTATTTTTTATTTATTCTCATTGGTAGTATATAAACTATGATGACGTTAGAACACCACCAACTTCTGTGCTGACTGAAAAAAACCCTAAATTTTATCACTAAACCACTGAGATTTCACAACTGTGTCTTTCTAAGTCCGTTTCTTTTCTTTGTGATAAAAATGAAATTTTAAAGAATTAGGCTGTCAATTCCCAGTCCACAGTTGGGATGAATCAATTCAGTATAAATAGTGGATATAATTCTGTAAAGCCATCTTGCAGTCCTGATTTTGGCATAGCCAATGTAATCTGTGTAGCACATAACAAAAAATGAGCCAGAATGGAGACTAACTTACTGCTCTTTTTCCCTTAAAAAAATGATGAATTTGTAAGTGTTCACTTTGCCTTTTTTCTAACAACTTGCTGTATTAATAAAATATATTTGTGTTGAGTATTGTTGAAGTAGTTCAATGCAACAGTTTATATTTTCAGGCTTGTAGGATTTTATACAGATGAGCATTATTGCTAACCTATTAGCTGAAATAACCTAACCACACTTGACTTCCTTATACACTGAATGACCAAATGTTGTCGAAGAGATTTTGTCAAGAACATGAGTATGTAACTGAAAGAATTTTGATGGTTATCTATTACTCATTTCATATCACAGTATCAGAATTTTGAGAATTGCAAAGCCAGCTTAATTTTAATTGTAGACAATTTTTGAATAGGCCCTAAAAATTTACTTCATCAATAAAGTATGAATACCATGAGAGCTGAAAATCTAGGTATATAATGAAGTATCTTTCTCTGGTTTTCTACACCTATTGTGCAAATTTATGTTTTAATTATCTGAAACAGAATTTAAAATGTTTCACTAACATAGGTATTACTAATATATTGAATTATGTGTATGGGTAGAAAAGAGGCTCCCCAGCTATATTCCTTCTTTATCTATTATTAATATCAAGTATCTTTACTCCATTTTAATTTTCATTGTTATCTTTTTCCATGTATCAAAAGATTCGTGGATATCATTGTAAATGCTCACTAATTATACCACAGTTTTTATATTTAAACATGAAAGCACATTTCAAGTGTGGGGGAGATAAAAATGTTTTAGACTCATTTACTCTATTTTACTGTAAGCTATAACATGATAAAATTTACTGAGGCTTTTGTAATATTCATACATCGTGCTAAGACATGGCAAAAAAGAGCTGATTACTGAAGATTGAAATGAGGTTACTTAGCAGTATTGAATTGAATAGGTACTAATTCGTACTGTTTTTAGATGGTTTGGCTTTTCTTGTGTTACCTTTTTAATTATTGATGCATGGGAGTGTTTTTGCTGTGCAAAGCATGCTGATCAATAGGCCTGCAATTCGAAAAGGACACTTAGGAAAGGGAAACTTTGCAATTTGTGTATCAAACATTTGTAAATTGCTTCATCTGTACAGCTGTGTTCTAAGGTAAGTACAGTGACATGGTAGGTGAAAACCCACTGGAATTACTGTTGGTATAATGCTTTTCTGTTTCATGGTGTAATCATACTTGATGAGGAAACGACAGTCACGGATCACAGGCAGACATGTATCTCAGAGGTTGATTTTACACTACACTATAGGTAAAAATAAAAAAATATGTGAAGTACATGTTGCAGGTACTGAATTTCTCATGCCCTCGAAACCAAGGAAAATTAGTTTTTCGGTCAAAATGTACGTGCCAAGAAATGTAAGAACTTGCTGCTCAGCTAGACAGGGGATCTGAAAATTCTTACTGTCTATGTTTTGTATACAGTACTTCTGTTGGTGATGATAATGTACCTAGAATGAAGGTTTCCCATTATTCACTTTTTAAATAAACTGCTAGTTCATCATATTTCATTAAATAACAATGTCAGGTTGAGGGTTTTATTATTTAACTAATGCATAGAACCATCGTATTATAAATACAAATCCTGAGTTTCTCCTGCATACTTGAAACTAGTGGGATGTTTGGTAAGTAAATTTAAGACTTAACTTTTCTAAGCATGAAATTTAAATGAAAATTAATTTGTAGAACATACATAAATTGGTTCCTATAGCAGACCACTTAGAATCAGCTGTATGGGGAAAAGTGGTTCTAGTTTTACTGCTTCATCTGAGCTGCTGTTTCATGGTTTATTGGCTTACTTCAAGAATTATCAAAAGTTTTCGTCGGCATTCTTTGGGTGATTTAGTTTTCTTATTTTAATTTTGTATGGACAAAAAAAAAAATCAGCACCCCAAGACCAAACCCTAAAAAACCTGTTTGCTGGTTTTTTGTAGGATCAAGTTAGTTGTCATCAGAATAGCTGCTGTGGGACTGTGTTTTAGATTTGCTCTGGAAACAGTATTGATAACACAGGGGTGTTTTTGTTACTGCTGAGCAGTGCTTACACAGTATCAAGGCCTTTCTGCTCCTCACAGGGAGCTGGGAGGGGACACAGCTGGGACAGCTGACCAAAGGGATATCCCAGAACTTACGGCATCACACCAGGTACATAAAGCTGGAGGAAGGAGTGAGGGGGTTCAGTATTGTGATGGTAGTCTTCTGAAGTAGCAGTTCCATGTGATGGAGCCTGGCTTTCCTGGGAGATGGCTGAACACCTGCCTGCCTGTGGGAAGTGGTGAATGAATTCCTTGTTTTGTTTTGCTTGCATGTGCAGCTCTTGCTTTACCTGTTAAACTGTCTTAATCTATGAGTTTTCTCACTGTTACCCTTCTGATCCTCTTCATTCCACCAGGAGAGATTTTGTCTCTTGTCATCTGTCTCTTGAAACCTTTTGCAGAGATGGTGGTTTCTCTGCTAATAGGTAACTGGAAACAAGGCTTTCTCTGAGATACAACCCCTAACATTTATATTTATTTTTTTGTGTGTCTTCCCTGTTGGTATTTTCTTCTTTTAGCTGAACAGTAAGTTTTATTCTCTAATTCAGTGAATTAGAAGAATTCTCACATTCATATGTGACACGTAGTTTTAACTGCTGCTTTCTTCTAGCAATCATATTTTCTGGAGGAAATGTTTTTGCTCATTGCTGGTACATCGTGGAGATGAGGTGACTAGGTATATGTGGAGACTTCAAAATAACAGACATATTACAATTCCCTGTAAAGCATTAAAAAGACAGTGTTGAAATGAAATTGAAAGTAAGCCCTCGTTTTAAGTGATCAGATATTTAATGTGGATCAGATGTAGAAATGCTTCTCTTCAGTGTTTCTAGAGTGATGCTTGTTTCATTTTAATCTATGTTCTCGTCCTTTTGAAAAAAAAAAGAAAAAGCAAGAGCAGATTAAAGTTCTCTATTAATATCCTAGGTGAAAATCTTGTACATCAATAAATTTGTTGTAGGGGTTTTTTTTGCTTTTTATAGGCTAATTGGTTGAAATTAGCTGTAAATCTGCTTATTTTGAGTTCACAGAAAAATGTGTGAAAATATAATTGGTCTTTTGAAAAAAAAAAAGTAACAGTTCGTCAAGGTTTGATCATCTCAAATTTGTCTTAATTTATTTCTGTAGTGATGGAGAAGCTGCAAATGGTGGTTTTTGCTTGAGGTAGACTGTCAGTGTAATTCTAGATCAAGGATAATAAAAGCATTGAAGTATTTTGTCTGGAATTGGTCTTTGCAGTTTCCTTTTAGCTGATAATGCTGCTACTTCGTTTCTCTGATAGTCAGGCAGTCCTTGACCATGTCATGTGTACCTTACTGATTTATAGTGTTCTTGTAACAGTATCATGTTGTGCCAAACCAGAATATACTATATCCATGAAAACTGAAAACAAAACAAAAAAATTTAAAAAAAAAGTTGTACTTGCAGTCTTTCTAGTGGTAGTTTTTTTGTTTTATTTAGTTTTGTGTGTGTTAATCCAATCTAACTTTTCTTTTGGACCATGTAGTTGCATGTTTTTTAACTAGTGATTTTGAAACGGTTGAGTTCTGTTGGTAATATTTTTTAACCTCTTTCTAAATTGCTAACAGACTAAGAAGTGCTGCTTTAACTTACTGAGTAAACATTTGCTTATTTTTAAGGGATGTATTGTATCATATAAAATCAGTCATAGGCATAGGCCCATAATCCTGTGTGGCTGTTATATTATTCATGATACTTTTAATAATTTTCTTTATTCACTAGCCTTAGGTCTGGTAGCCTGTGTTACAGGTTATAATAGTCTATGAGAAGTTACTGAGCAGCTTATCCCACATCTTGCTCTTAACCATTAATAGTTTCTGAGGGCTCATGAATCTGGCTTAGGAGTAGATGGATTATATTATTTTCCCCCATTTAGCATTTTTCCTGAAAGCTTGTAGGATGGATACAGTGCTTTACAGGGACCTTGACAACAAAAGTATAGACATGGAATGGTCTCCCTGAAGCAGGTCATGTCTGTATGTCTGAGCTGCATTTGTGGCTCTTTGTAGCAATTTGCTACATTTGCTAGATATTCAGTGAATATTTAGCATTATTCTTTACTTTTTGGAGACTGCTTATGGCAGTGCAGCAAAAATTCCCTTTGGTTGTAAATTGAATTCTTTGCATGTAATATGTGGACAGCAG